TGCGCTCGCCAGACAGAGAGAGATAGAGAGACAGAAAGTGAGAAATCACACCCCAGAGGGGTTGGTCATGCCGCAATCCCTTCTCCTCCATTCTCCTCTCGGGATCTTGGGCACACATGCATACGCGCCCGGCGTGAGTTTTAAGCCACCGGGTCAGGGACACGAACCGCAGTCTACTACGTGGGAGTCCAGCGACATAGCCATTACGCTAACTGCTGGTTCCCGCGCCTGCCCCTTTCTACTCCCGAGACCTGCCGGCCCCCCTGCCTAGTCGGGGTGGGCTCCAGCGGAAGTCAGGACACGCGGTCTGTCTGCAGAGCCCGGCTTCGCTCACCTGCCAGTTTCTCCCGCATCCACCTACTTTGCCTCGAACGGGGAGCCCACGTTCTCCTACCAGCTAAGCAGCATCCCGCTGCGCACAAGGCACACGCTCTGCCCAAGCCCAGCGGTCGGCACGCAGGCGGCTTCCTGCCGCAGCTCCCCTGAACAGGCCGCGGCCACCTCGCTGCCTCCCCTGTGGGTGCGCTAGGAGTGGGGTTACAGGGCCGTACACAGCAGCTCTGCTTCTCGCGGGGACCCCACACTGTCTCCCACAGTGCCGCCCTGATTTCCATTCCCTCCCACGCTGCTCCAGGACCCCCTTTCTCCACAGCCTCGCCAGCACTTCTTTTTCGTATGCTTTTTGGCTATTTGTGTTTCTTTGCGAAGCACTTGCTCAGCTCAATCGCCCATCTTTAATTGGCTCATCGGTCACTCCTGCTGGTGAGCTCTGTGGGCTACTTACGTCCTCTGGTCATTGATCCCTGCTGGGGCACAGCTGGCATCTCCTCCCGTTTCTAAGCAAAGGACAACGGCCTTGATTCTCACACCTAGGGTGTGAAGCCCGTCTCCTCGGAGCCAGACCTCGGCGTACATACCGACCACGCCGGGGCCTTGCACCTCCTCCACGTCCCCTTTGGCGTTGGTGATCCTCCAGTAGCGGCTGTCCAGCTGGCACGCCTTCTCAGGGAGCGCGTCCTTGGACATCTCGATCCTGCAGGGGTATGGGGACACAGACCAGCCGTCCTGGCTTGCTCTGTCAGAACGCTACGGGGGGAATGCCACTGTACCACAAAGCCAGCCGTAAAAACGCCTATTTTTCATTTAATCAAATCCAATGCCTACCACTGTGTCTGACATACTTGAGACACTCAGTAAATATTTATTAGGTTATTAAATGTGAAATTAATGGCTTTATCTTCAGCAATTGGATCGCACCTAGAATGCATTCCGACTGTAACATGGGATGTAATGGCAATTCTAACTCAGCGCCCCACTTCCCATGAGACCGGGCGCAGTCCTTTACACCAGGTATACTTGCAAGAAATGACTCAGACGGCCTGGACGTTACCGAAGTCCAGTTACTTTCTGAACACTCTATGGTAGAAGACCCACCCACCGTCCTCCAAACCTGAGCGAGAAGCTGCCTGCCGAAGCGTGTCTTCCCCGTCAGGCCAGACGGGGTGGCACACGCACACGCCACACTGCGCTGCGGAAAGCCGGCCGCCAGCCTCACCTGATCCGGTACGTGAAGAAGTAGTGGGGCGGGTGGACGGAGCTGAGCTCCGGCAGGAACGAGGTGGAGACCGACACCGTGACGTCCCCCGTCGTGGCCACGCACTCAGGGTCATGCACGTACCTGGGGTAAGACAGAAACGCCTGAGCATCGCCGAAGAGTTCTAAGAGACGGAGATATGGGACAAACGCCTTATAACTTCAGATAAAACATTTAAATACTATTTGGGCACCGCCCAGCTAAACCAGGAACAAACCTAGAAACGTCAGCGACACCGTGCGAGCGGCCACGGTTCAGTGTCAGGTTCGAATAAGGGATCTGAAACTCGTTTGGAAACGGAAAAGGACGTAACTCAGTTTTCAGAGCTAAGGGACCTTCTGGGGCGTCTGAAGCCCAGCCACACGGGCAGCAGGGTGAAGGCGAGTGTGCCAGTGTGCCAGCTCCACGAGCCTCTCTCCTGACTGACGCATCGCTTCTGTCCGCCAGGAGGCCATGCACCGGGTGCAGGGCCAGTGCCCCTCAGGCGACATGAATGGCTCTTCGCGAAAGACTTACTAACTGGCGAACGACATTTTGTTTTCTTCTAAAGGAAAGTAAATAGCACCATAAAGCCATAGCTTTTTACTCAAAACCAGTTTTTTCTCTTAATTTTTTCTTTTCAGTTTGGGGGAACATTTTTATTTATTTCTTAATTTGCCTTAGGACATGAGCAGTCCTTAGAAAGAAAGGGAAGGCGGGAGGACGATGGCCACAACGCAATCCCTTCTCCGTCCTACTCTGAGGAGTCTAGGCACGCACATACATGTGCCAGCTGTTTTTCAAGCTGCCAGGTTCAGGACTCGAACCATGCAGTTGGCCACGTGGCATCTAGCTGCCTGAACTGCCACATCACAGGCTGGCCCGTGCCTTGATTCTTCAAGATAAGAACATACTGGTTGTTTAAGTGTTGGCTGTTTTGGCTTTCAAGCAATAATAAAATACTGAGACTTACAGTAACAGAAGACTGTTATTAACATTCTTTGGATACTTCATGTCACAGCTGTGAAGGATGGTTTTTCTCCAACTTAAAATAAACACGGCACAAAAGCCCCAAATGAAATACCTGAAGATCTGGTCTCGGATGATGGGGAAGCCCCCTGAGACCACGTTGTTGACGTAAGAGGTGAACCAGTCAGTGAAAGTAGCACCTGCAGGGAGGGGAGGGAGGGAGAAGACAGAGTCCCTGTGAGGTCTACGCAGAACAGGGAGACGGACGTGCTTCTCTGTGCTCGAGAGGTGACACGGAGACCAGGAGCGTGTGTGGTCTCCAGCTACCTTCACACCACTGAACCTCTAGACTGACAATGAAGTCACCGACTCTCTCATGTGCTCTGATGAGAGCTCAGAGCTTCCTGTCTGTAACTGCCATGGCACACAGAACGATGGCCACACAGCGATGTCCAGGTGGACACCATGAGAAGCCTCGGCGCAGACTCCCAGGGAGTGAGGACCCCCGGGTGGGTACTGACTTGGTAGGGAAGACACCCATGGGCCGCACTGTTCTGACTCGTCTGCAAAATCCCAGCGGGAACAGGCTCATCTGGACACGTACCAGGGATGTGGTGTGGGGAGCTCTGCGTGTCAAGTCAGTCCCAAAGTGATCTAACGGAGACTGGACTCACTGCAGTGGCCCTCTGCACTTCATAAAGCAGGGAATTCCCGGCACAGCCCAAACCAGACCACATGAAGGCACGTCAAAAAGTTCACGGAGAATGGAATTAAAGTACGAATTTTGGTGCAAAAACTGTTTGAGATTCATGCATAGCTCTTCATGATATGCATTTTCTGGGTCAGCTAGTGGCGTGGAGGTTGAAGCAGCTGGATATCGCATGGCTAACTGCAGTTCACTCCTGACCTAGTAGCTCAGAAAACATGCCAGGCGCACGCATGCGCATGCCCAAAATCTTGAGACTGGAAAAGGGATTATAGTATGGCCACCCCCAAGGAGGTTGACTTCTCACTTTCACTTTCTCACTCTCCCTAGTGAGCATGTGTGCCTATAGCAAAAAATAAATAAATAAATAAATAAAAATCCATAAACTTTTTGGAAGATCCTGTGAACCTCCACGGCACGGGAGACAACTGATCAGTGGGTTCTGCTCCTCCGTCTAGCAAGGGAGCAGGACGCCATGGGACCTGCGGCCGACTGCACCACAACGCAGGCCTGGCTCAAGCTGGTCTCCGACTTCATGCTGTCCGCTGACTCTCCTAAGTGGTTCTGACTGACCCGGCTGCCCGTGCCACTGCACTGCATGTCAGACGCTGACTGTAACAGTGCTGTTTCCTTTGGGGGTGACAGAACACGCAGCCTGGCTTGTACGTGAGGGTAGACAGCGTGCAAGTTTGAAGGCTTCAATGTCAGAAAGTGACCCACGAAGGCCGACCCTCCCTCACTTCCATCAGTGGCCCATGCTGAGCTGGCACTCACTCAACACTGCTGAGTTCAAAGGTCACTGATCGTCCTTCCACCTTGAGCAAGACATAAGGAACTATCTAAATAATGTCATTAAAATTCACAGAAGGCCAAGTTGGTGTTTTTAAGACAAATGATTTTTTTTTCTTTGAGAGGCTTTTCACTATAGGGTACGTGCGCTCGCCAGACAGAGAGAGACATAGAAACAGAAAGCGAGAAATCGCCCCCCAGGGGGGATGGTCACACCGCAATCCCTTCTCCTCCATTCTCCTCTCGGGATCTTGGGCACGCACGCACACGCGCCCGGCGTGAGTTTTAAGCCACCGGGTCCGGGACGCAAACAGCGGTTGACTACGTGGGAGTCCAGCGACATAGCCATTACACTAACTGTTGGTTCCCAAAACAAATGGTTTCCTGAAGAGTTTAAAAAATCGTTCTGAGGACCAGCAGTTAACGTAATGGCTATCTAGCTGAATTCCCATGTAGTTAACCATGGTTCAAGTCCCGTATCCGGTAGCTTAAACTCACGCCAGGCACATGTGCATGCGTGCCCAAGATCCCGAGAGGAGAATGGAGAAGGGATTGTGATGTGGCCATCCCCCTGGGGGGTGGTTTCTCACTTTCTGTCTCTCTGTCTCTCTCTGTCTTTCTGGTAGCGCATGTGCCCTATAGTAAAAACCTTTCAAAAATAAAAAATCGTTCTGTATGCCTCATGGGATAAAACGCCACATCGAAGCCTCATGGTCTGTGAGCGAGAACCCAGCACAGCGTGTCCCCACGTCCCTGTCACTATGGCATGCACCGTGAGGACAGCAGGCCACTACACTAACCGAAGAGGGTTCCAGTCCTCCTGAACACCTGCCCAGGGCACCGAGCACCGGTAATCCACAATTCTGAGAGAGTAAAACTCAGCCAAACCCAGGCACAGTTGACCCGGCCTGAGGTAGCTCAGCTGCAAGTAGCCTGCTTCAGAGTCTCTCCGACAGACCTAGGGGCTTGTCGGTGCCGCCTGTAGGAAGCTGCCCTCTCCATTGCTGCTTGGTGTTAGCTGACCAGTCACCGTCACCCAGTGGCCCACAACTTCAGGCCTTGCTCCCGTGCGGAGAAGTGCAGCTGCCATGGAGCGCATGCCATCAGACCAGACTCTGTGGCAGGCAGTCCTCCGCCAGGTCAGATGGAGCAAGGGTGGCAGCCTCGCAGGCGCACCAGAGCCGGGCAGTGGAGTTCCCACTCGGCAGCACTGCCGGGCTAGGGTCAGGACCTGCGAGGTCTTCAAGAGGTCGTGGAAAATGCATCTTATGGAAAAGTGCAATGGATTCAAATTTTTATCAATAAAATAAACGTTTTATGATTTCTATTTTATTTTCGTTTCCCACAAAGTTTTGAAGTCCTTTTCTACTTTGTTCGAGGTTCCAACTAGAAGATACAATTGAGTGCAGACTCTTTGGCCGGCAAGACCCTGAACGAGCAGCAAATGGAGTCTCACTTATCTCAGTAGTGCCTGTAAAAGGCTGAGTGGGAGGCCGGCAGGAACAGCGTAAGCCAAGGCAGCGGATCCAATACAGCCAACTTCCAGGTTCGAGTCCTAGACCCAGTGGCTGAAAACCACTGACACACGTACACGCATGCCCGCATCAGAGAGGAGAGCAGAGGAGGGACCGCAGTGCAGCTGTCCCCTGGAGGGAGCAGAGATTTCTGGCTTCCTCTGTCTGTCTGTCTCTGGCAAGTGCACGTGACCTATAGCAAAGCCTACAATAAACAAAATAAAAGGCAGAGTGGATAGTGGGACGCTTCTCCTAGGGGAACAAAATCTAAGCAAGACGACGCTGCATGAACAGCAAAGGGGTAAGCTGCACTTGCAGACAAACTGGAGGCTCTCAAAAACCTGAAAGACACACCCCTCCAAGCCCAGGAGCTGACGGGTGCGTGTTCATCCTGGTCTGTGCAGAGCTTTCCGAAGACAGCCTCCCGCGGTCCGACAGGACGGGGCTATACCTTACTACGGCATCACCACTGCACCAACACGCGTGAGGCTGCTTTCTGGGTCTGCATCTCCGTTTACACGGATGGGACTGGTGGGAATGCAGGTGTGCATCACGGGACACACCACCCCCGACACCTCTGTGCATCTCACTCTCTGCAGGGCAGCTCAGAGGACCAGGCTGTATCGAACACGTCTTCCTCCAAAGAGAAAGAAGTTAGGCACAGCCGAGCCGTCCCGGGTCGGGTCTGGGTGCAGCCCTGCACCATCAGACACAGCCGAGCCGTCCTGGTGTCGAGTCTGGGTGCGGCCCTGCACACACCAACTCCCGCAAAGTCGTGAAACACGAAACAACCAGCTAGCTGCTCAAGTAACTGCAGAAGTCCTCACCAACTTAATTTAACCACGAGGAAGAGGGAAAAGAGACGTTCCTCTCCTACCTATGATAAACATGTCGATAGCAGCTGGGTTCCGAGCCATTTGGTCCTAGGTGAGAGAAAGAACATAACTGATAAAACACTCCATGTGTCTTCTCATTGTCCATTATCTTTCTTTCCTTTAAGAAAAGGCAAAACAGATGAAAACAGCAATAACTTAACCCTCAGATACCCCACTCTGGCAGCTCCCACGGCCGGGATCCGGAGAGCCCAGGGACAAGGCCGGGCGCTCTCTTCTGTCACAGCCGCAACAAAGGCGAGTGCGGCCATGGTGGACAGCGGTGACGGAGTGCAGTAAGAGGATGTGGTTGGTCATTCTAGCAGGAAGGGCTCTGGGAGCAGTCAAGAGACCCGACCGGTTTCAGGCTAGTCACTTCTCGCGGTAAGTGGGAGACCACGCCACCGTCTTATCAACAAGCGTCAAGTAAAAAATGAGGTAAGACATGAAAACACTTAAAAAGATGAAAAGCTGGGACCGACAGATGGTGTAATGGTTGTTCACTGGACTCCCATGTAGTTGACTGTAGTTCAAGTCCTAGGTCTGGTGGCTTAAAAACTCATGCTGGGCGTGCATGCATGCCCAAATCTCACGAGATTGGAGGAGAATGGACTGTGGTGTAGCCATCCACCCAGGGGGTGATTTCTCACTTTCTGTCTCTCTGGCGAGTGCATATGCCCTATAGCAAAAATCTCTCTCTAAAACAAACATGCAAAACAAAGAAAACTTATGAGCATATTAAATATTTACAATGTTATACATAGTCACATGTCCCATAAAACCATTAAAAGCAATTTTTGTTTTATAATCCTTTTTAAGTAAAAAGTTCACATCTAGGCAAAAATAAAGCAGAATCTAGGCAATTGAGAACTGAAGAAAAAAATAAAGCTAAATGCCATGACACTCCCTGTGATTACATTAAGACCATAACAAAGTCTAAAAAGGAATTACATTTTCAACAAGTCGAATAGTGAAGAGCTTCACAAGTTTCCACTGTGCTCAGCTTGAATTAGAGAATGCGCAAAAGCTAATTTTCCCAAGTGAGAAACATACATCACCGCTAATTATGAGCACACAGCTCCTCATCCTTTCCTGACACCTACATGGCCGTCCCATCACACTCCCCGGGTGGACAGGGTCCCTGTTCCTGACACCTACATGGCCGTCCCCAGTCACACTCCCCGGGTGGACAGGGTCCCCGTTCCTGACACCTACATGGCCGTCCTGTCACACTCCCCGGGTGGGCAGTGGTCTGCGCCATCTGTCCAGGGCGACGCCCCCTTCTGGCCTGGCCGGAGCACTGACTCTCTGCTTGGACAGGTCAGTTAACACAGGTGACACCCTGTACCCACTTTACAGCCCTGACACGCCCAGCACACGTGTGTGTGTGTGCGCATCAGAACCATCTTGGAGTGCACTTCGCCACTCGCTTACGGGGCACTGGTAGAAAACTTCGTTTTTGTTCCGGCCCTCTGCAGCTTCCACGGCTATGTACTGGCTCAAACCGGTGTGGATGCAGAACGTGAGAGGGAGGCAGTGCTTCAGGCCTTGTCTCTGCTGGAAGCCCCCGGCGGCTGTATCCACGTCCAACAGATCTTCCGAGCGGTAGTGGTTAGACAGGGCCATACTCCCTAGCAACCTGAGGGAACAGCAGACAGGATGGGACTGCAGTGCCATGCCGCCATTATGATGAGGAATTTCACACTGACAACTTCCGTTTTCCTCCTGAATGTCTTTACTCGTGACAGAGCATGTTCACGTGTGAGTAGGACAGAGAGGAGCACCTCCACAAGGTCTGCTCCTGCCACGGCCCCCTCTCTCCAGCCCTCCAGCCCGTGGGATCCTGGGAGCTGGCTGCATGGCTGCTGGCTCTGGCACTGAGCAGGCCAAGGTGGGATCTGGAGTCGTAGCAGCAGTGCATTACTGCTGGGCCACGGAGCTGGCCAGCAACAGCTTTCTAAGTACGATTAATGTGACAATTCTGAGCCACAAATACCAATACTTCAATTTATTTTTTTCTCTTTAATGTGCTAAAGGGCACGTGTGCTCACCAGAGAGAGGCCCCCCTGGGGGGTGGCTATGTCACAGTCCCCTCTTCCCCTCCTGGGAATTTCGGCATGTATGCACATATGCCTGGTCTGTTTTTTAAGCCATCAGGTCCAGGCCTTGAAGTGCGCAGTCGGCCACGTGGGATCAGGTGCCTCAAACACCACCCCACTGGCTTGCCCCCAACACTCTAATGTGTGGGTAAGGCCAGCACCGTGGCCTCGAGGTTAAAGGAACCGGATCCCACATGGGCGGCCACACGGTTTGAATCTCAGCACCAGTGGCTTAAAGATTGTTTGGGAGCATGTGTGTGTGTGTGCCCAGAGTCCCAGATGGAGAAGGGACTCTCCATTGAAGGGTGCTTCCTCCCTTCCTCCCTCTGGCACATGTAAGGGCCTTCTAGCAGAAAAAAAAAAAAATTAAAGAAAGGATATGTGGGTAGAAATGACGTTCTCATGGAAGACTTATTTTGGTCAAATCTAATCTGAGCTCGATTTTGTCATACAGGTTGCTATAAGGAGAAAGGGGGAACTTCTATACCCCTTTAATCTGTCAGAGGTGACTGTGAATATAACTTATTTCATTGCTAATTGGAAAATGACTCGCATCCTCTGAACAGCCGCGGCCTCGGGCGTCTCACCCAGGAACCACCAGCTTCTGGCCATTGTGGATCCGGTAGGAGCAGCGGCAAT